TTACACTATCTGCTTCTTCCCCAATTTCATGTTTTGTTTCTTGAAACCTTATGGTGTTGTGTGTTCTCATCAAGTGTCTTGTTTTCTTAGGTTATATTTGTCTTTGATGTGTTAATGTTGTGTCTTAACTGCTTAGGGATAAATTCGTTTATTACTTTTGTCAACTGTTGTTTCCAGGGAGGTGATCCTTCTCAACAGCGGAATCATGCTCTGGAGGTTTCATGTTTTGTTTTATGGACAAGTCTAATACAAATTAGTTTCTTGCTTATCAACAACACTGAATAAGTAATATGTACAACAACACTGAATAAGTAATCAGACCTGAGCCCAATGAAGCTTGACATTTGTGGAAGTGTTTAGGTTTCCGTTAAGTAGTTCTCGTAAAGCATGTTTTGGATCTGAATATCATATTAGTATCAGACGACACTGTCAAGCTTTTTCATGGTCCCTTATACTTAGCACAAGGGTTATAAGGAAGGATGGAGTTTTGTGAACTTCTTAGGAGCGGTTGATAGTATACGGTTTTACTCTTTTGTTACAAGAGATAGGACCGTGGTTTTCAAGATTTTTAGCGTTGATTATGTGACGAGTGGCTCTACATTTCTTTATCTTTCCTTATGCCTATGACATGAATACAGGTTGCAACTTCTTCGTTAGCATCTGTTGCAAGACTTCCATGGGGATCTAGAGTATCATCTGGGAGCATAGATAGCCAAGATGTTTCTCCTAATCCTCCTCTGCGATTGCAGCTTTTTGAATTTGGTATATGTTCTTGTTGGTGTCACGTAAAAAAAGCAGCAGTAGTGGCAAGCCAATTTTACATTGTAAGAGTTTCTTGGTTTTTGTACAACAGAGGCATGTCCCTTTTGCCGGAGGGTGCGGGAAGCCTTGACTGAGCTAGACCTTTCTGTTGAAGTAAGAACTTAAACATCTTTTCCCCGAGAGATAGATAGCTTATTAAGCAATAAACTGAAGTTCGTCCTGATATATGTTGGTGTTCAGGTTTATCCTTGTCCTAAAGGATCTGTAAGACACAGAGAAATGGTTAGAAGATCCGGCGGAAAAGAGATGTACATTTACGTTCATTTGGCTTCATAATCATCATTCCATAACAATTTATTGTTTTCCTTCTAATGGTCGGTTGTTAAAATTCTGTTAATGAAAACGTGCAGGTTTCCGTTCCTCATCGACCCGAATACTGATACTTTAATGTATGAGAGTGGTGAGTCTTGAGTTCCAACTTCAATAACCTATTGTCTTCTTCTCTGGATATCTTTACATAGGTTGTCTTCTCTTTTCCAATTTAGGTGACATTGTAAAGTACCTATTTAATCAATATGGAAATGGAAGAGGCCCGTCCACCGGACTTTTGGAAAGGTGAGCATCCTCAGAATCAGCTATACTTGGTCTTAGTATTCAAGTAGTTGCTTTTTCCTGTTACTATAATCTTCAATTGTATCACTGATTTCGTTAACGAATTGTCCAGCACCTTATTTACTGGATGGATGCCAACGCTTCTCCGAGCAGGTAGAGGCATGTCATTGTGGGACAAGGCTTCAACAGACCCACCACCTAAAATGCTTGAGCTCTTCTCTTACGAAAACAACCCGGTACTATTGTTTTTCCTCTACCTTTCTTGTATCCAAGACTCTTCTCGTGATTAGTCGTTAGATCCACGCATTCCTTTACTAGATTATCGCCATATTTTCTTGTTAACATGATATGCACTAGAATAGCATCAATAAGTAGGGGGGGGGGGGAACTGATGAAGTTTCTTTGACCAGTTTGTTGTTTGAGAGCCTTTGGGACAGTTAAGAGATATCTACAAGAAATCTCCAAGATACTTACGACTGTTAGGGTTCTTGATTGTAATCCTTGATTCAAAGATAATAAAGAGAACTTTTTTCATAATCTAGAGGTTGAATCCTATCACAATATAATAAACCTTATCCGCAATAATTAAGTCTTATGCACTATGATCATTTAATAATTCCCTAGTAGTTCGCATAATATCTTTCACGATTCAGAAAAGCTTTGGTGACTAAGGGTTTTGATCCCTCTTTTTCACTTCCAGTATTCACGGTTGGTGCGTGAAGCACTGTGTGAGCTGGAGCTCCCATATGTATTACACAACATTGGAGAAGGGTCCACACGGACTAGATCACTTCTAAATGCTTCAGGATCTAATAAGGTCTAATCTGGTTCCAAATCTGTGAATACGCTCTTACCAATCACTTTTCGAAGTAACGGTTGAAACTGTTGCTGCTCAATATGAATCACAGGTTCCATTCTTGGTTGATCCAAACACTGGTGTCCATTTAGGTGATTACGAGAAGATCTTGGCTTACCTTTTCAAGACTTATTCTTCAGCAGCATCTGCATAGTGCATAGTCTGACTTATACACCATTCTTCTTCCCAAGGTACAAGCTTTTTGACTCCACATGTTTTGACAAATTCTTTAGAACTTAAAACAAATTCCGAAACTTTGAATATATGATGAATATCACAAGTTAATAGACAGTCGGCATCTCCAAGGATCTTGTGATAGAAAGATATGAAATGTATTTAAGTTTTCTGAATTAGACTTAATCTATTACAGATGACAATGCAGGATAAGGATGCATAGTTACACAGATGCCCTTTTATTATCATAACTTTTCTTAAGTAACTCAAAAACTTTTGATGTATATAATAATAATAGTAGTAAAATATTGTACATCAAGATTCAACACCTGTCTTGTTTTTGTGTGTGTTTTGGCATCAAATTCTTCTCTTTCAAGCATCAGTTTGATAACAAAAGCCTCCCCACTACGTTTCACATCTACCCAATCATTATGGATACATATAATTATGCATAGATATAGATCCACCAACTTTTGATGTATTGGTTCAACAGCAATCTTAGTAGCTCTCATGTCTTCCTCAACTTCCCAATAATTCCATTTACTCTTTTAAGGATCCAACAATTCACCCACAAGA